GGATGGGATGGATGGGATGGATGGGATGGATGTTATATAAACATATAAACACAGGGCGCAGCAGAGACGCATACCAGTCATGTTTATTGGAGAATCAAATGATGGTTTACAAATCAAACAAGAACAATGTCCAGCTGCTTATACTTATATGKGTAAAAATTAACAACGATAAATCGTACACTAGATTACAACAGTAAAGCAAATTCTGACTTATGAATAATTATGTAATTGTAAAATGAAAAAGTAAAATTAGACTCGGTAACAAAGCGAGTGAGTTATTGAAACTTGTAAGGTCAAGTGTATTGTAATGCAGTTATTTTGTTATATATTAAAGTAAGTGCGGAAAGCACTAATTACGAATGCGCAATATAAACACAATTTCAAGGTTTTAAAGAAGTTTATTCTAACTGCAGTTACAAACGGTTTAACTGCACCGTTTGCAAGTCTTTTTACACACGCTCCTGACGTAAGGGCCGTACGTTTGGTGGTTACAGTACCTTGTCCAGCTTGTGCATTTGCTATTGTCGTCTTTGCATGACACTAAAAAGCAGCAGAATAGATGATTATAAATGATGAACTTAGGACAGCACTGAGGGACGATTTTGATATAAACAATCTTATTGAATGGTAGATTACAATGAATAATAATGATTAGTAAAAATACACAGGTGATTATTGAAAATCTCGCGCGCTGATTGGTCGAGAAACTCAGATTATCACACACGATAATCACCTCCAGCGATAATCCAAAATGGGGACCAGCCGTTTTGTTGCTGTTCCCTAATTTTAAATGTGTCTTTTATCTTGTTTTTTTTTTTTCTTTCTTTTTTTTTGAAAGAATCACCTTTGTATTTATACTAAGACAATTATTCACCTCAGGCTCAGTCAATATCGGGAATAATTTATTCCCCGATATTCACTTCGCCTTCGGCGAATAATTGTTAAATGTTTATGGCAATAATGATGATGATGATGATGATCTCAAGTAATACACAACCTATAGATGGATCTTGCCTCTTTAAAACACCTTACCAATACTCATCTGCACGATGTTTGTGATCGATTAATACCTATGATGATCTTACAGCTCGACGTGCAAATCTATGACCGCCGATAATGAATTGGCATACTTTTATGCACTGGATTTTTGTACGCTAAACCGACACATTTCGATGCGAAGCTGGCTGGTTTTACATATATGTGAAGTGTGTGATAAAGCTTGTTTGACATGGCAGCAAAAAGCCCGTGCATAGAAGTATGCGAATAATAATACTACTCTGAAGTAAAAGGTTAGATTGAATGAGAGTACTGGTAGTACATTATCCCTTCAAGCATTTTACCTGTCTGGCGACACAAGCAAGTCTTCTTACAGTCCTTCATCATGAACGATCTGTACTGGCTAGAGGTACAGTAACCTTTCGTCTTCCAAAAGGAACAATATTTAGCTTTGTCTGTATACTGGCATCCTGCATACATGCATGAAAAATATAAATATAGACGAAGCTAAAAGATAACCGTTGCATTAGATGGTAACTGGTACCCATAGCACTGTAAGTAACGATTGTAGAAATACAAAAGACAAGTGTGACAAGTTTTTTAAATGGAAAACATTTTTGGATATYTAGGATTGTAAAGAAGGAACGAACTATATTACTTGTATTAACTATAAGCGGAACTTTATTCTCTCTTTCATTCTTCAATCTTACGTTTCTTTTTCCCTTACGTTCTTTCGTTCTCCCTCTTACATTTCATTTCATTCTGTCAAKAAACAACAAATGTCTTACCTGGTGGGGGAGGGGTAGGCGGACGTGGTGGTCTAGGTGTTTGTGGTCTAGGGTTACTTCCACAGTACATTAGCTTAGCTTGTTGAATATCTTTTGAAGTCAGTCCGTACCGCTGACCAAGTCTGCGTCTTCCGCCCTTTGCTACGATCGTAGGGCGACCATTAACTGTGAAGGCACCGGCCGAGTAATGCATGAGGGAGTCATAATCATATGACACTCCCCGGCTGTTGATCATGCTCGTGCTATACTTATTAAAGTTGTGCCGCACCCCTAAAATATTAAAAAAAAACAGTCAAATTAAGTCTTTCTGATTCAACTGACGCCATCCAGTGAATGGACTAAGGGAATGGAGTATTGTGAGTCTTTGTGCAATCTGATGGCCTTTTTTTTTGTAACCAGGCCTGCATAAAAAATACAAAACTTGTTAGCATTGAGCCCGTGCATGTATGCAATAATGCGGCGTCGCGCAAAAAATATAAACAGATTGCTAATTGCTCCAATTGCACTTCTAGGAGAAGCGAAAACTAACAATAAGGATTTGAAAAGGAGAATATCAAGATGCTTCKAAAAAAACGGAGCACCGAAGAAAAAATAGCAAGCAGACTTGCTCAGCAAAGTAAATCCCGCATCAGTTTGCCTATTTGACCAAAAARTATAACCGGGAGGGGTACTTGAAAAATTTGTGTTTGAGCCTCGAAGTTTAAAAAAATATATATATTCTAGCCATCAAAACTTTTAACTCAGTTTGATATTATATTCAATGTCAAATTATTAAAGACTCGTTTCACATTTTTTTTTTTTTTTTTGGGAGAGAAGAAAACATTGACAGTACACTACCCCGGTCAGCTCACCAGTGAGGCGCAAAAGTTTTTCCCACGGGGTAACGCTTACAAGTTGTGCATGTTAACTTCGCGCTGATTGGGTCGTTGCCTCTTAAGGAATCAGCTAGTGTGGTTCTTAAGGTAGAATGATGTACCCCAATCTCCTGAGAATTGGAACCTATTGTTTTGTACCTCAGATGGAGCTGCATTCCAAAGTGCTGCAAGGTGTCTATATCATGTTGATCTTACCTGATGCGATATTTCTCCAGTTGATCGTGACGTAACGATCTCTGTCTGGTCTTGACTGCTCGTGCCAGAATCCAAGAGCGTGTGCTATTTTAAACCAATGAAAGTCCAGTTAGACACTTGTTGCCTAGGTGATCATTTAAAACAAATGATATTCCMGTGATCATTCTTGTAAATGATCACCTGGGCAACAAGTGTCTAAACTTATACCTGTCTTGGGTGGGGATGGGTAGGTACAATARAAGCACTGAGGGAGTCGTGGTATGTTCTGTTAAAATGCGTTTAAATCTCAATAATAATTCAGTTAATTCCGTTGTATATATTATACCACAATAAGAGACATAATTGAATAMGTGCAGCGTTGTGTATTATGATATGAAAATAAAGACTACAAAGTAGACAAACCTACCAATTTCGTGAGCGACCACACCCATAACATTGCATCCTCGACCAATGGAAATCCTCTGTGCTCCAGCGGCGCTTTGACGACCAACGTGTGAATAACAGCTGAAACGTACGCCGGAAAACCAAAAAATTAACAATGTAAAACATAGTAATGTTTTGAAAATTCTTAAATTGCACTCACCTAAAGGCTCGTGCAATTATAAGAACTTTCAAAGCATCACTCGTACCTTATAATATAACGAATTGTACTCGAGGTCGTGCGATTTTCTATACAAATGCGAGGCTAAAGGGTAATCCAAGGCCCATCCAGGGTAAGAAAAGGTAATGCTTAATTTTTACTTAGTCGATAACGCGGGGAATGGTTGCCATTCTCCCGAGGAAGGAATTTATAGATAAAGTGCACAAAGGTCTGACTTTACTCCCTCACRCTATCACTTCTTATCACGGGTATTTAAAGTGCCTAATGAAGGCCGTTCAATAGCCAACTGGGCTACGCCTGAGTGGACTACACCGAGCCCGGCAAGAACAAGCCCGGTTGGTATGAGTGAGCATCAGCAGCACGCAACACCCGCGCTTGGCCTCAGTCCAAATATTCAAGACCTCGGGCACAGTTTTCCCAGACCGTCTTGGCGATAAATAACATATTTGYACTTAATTACCCTCCTCCAGAGAAGAAAGACAGGTACGTCCTTTGCCTACGATTCCATGGTGTAAACTTGATACAGGGGACTTTGGATTCCCAGTGTCTCATTGCTTGCAGGATGACTCCTCTTGCATAATCTGTACAAAAACACCAAAACGAACATCATATATCTATCGAATCCTTTATTATATAACTAGCTTTGTCGGGTCTGGCGCCCTCGGGCTGAGTCATGACATAGCTACGGACAGATTATATAAGAAGACTTTTTATATCTCAACAGTTTTACTTACAGTTAGAACGCTCTATCACATACGGGACAATGGCGCGACCGTTAGTGATCCATCTCGCTCTCGTATTCCTCATGGCAGCTCGTTTAGTTCTGCTTCCTGATGTTGTATTGTTAGCACCAATACTTGCCAGGTAGGTTCTTATTTGACTGTCCACTACAATATCACCTTGGAAAAGCTCCTCTCCAGACGTTCTGAAGGCTGAATATAACATCATAAAGCGAATAAGCATTCTTCATAAAGCGGGAACTATAGGATTTTATAGTTTTCCGATCTTTTTAGCCCCACTTTTCCTGTCGAAGTTGGGTCCAGTCAGATATATATGTTCATATGTTTGACCTCATCTCTAATAATGTAAATATGGAGGCCCCTTTAAAGCTAAACTAGGAAACTTGGCAAAAAAAAAAAAAAAAGAGATTTGTTCAGCCATTTTTACAAAACTAATTGAAATATCAGACATTTTTAGAAATATTTAAAATAGCCCTTTAAGCACAACAGTAGATGATTACATAGTAACATATCTCACTCTCTCCCCTCTCCCCTAGGGKCAATATTTATCACTAAGAATTACCTGCTTGCTTCTTGTTGGCTTTCAAAATGACATCAAAGACTGGCTTGGGACCGCCATTCACTGATGGAAGAAATACAAACAAATTTGTCAACATGGTGCCAGCTCAGAGCAAATTAAGAAGCTTGAGAAGACATTCTTGATGCAGTTSTTACCACACTCTCCCCATTGACTGTCATTATCGTAGTCAGACGTGGTTGCRCACCATTCCTTGCTATGATCTTTCGTGGTACAATCATAGTACTCGGTACCTCGATACGTGAAGGGGAAAACACAACATTCACCGTCCTTTGTCTTACGAGTATCACACTTTGAATCTATTAACGCATTCAAGTAATTAAATAAAATGAAAAGTTAGAAAGAAAAAAAAAAGAAGATAATAATAGATAAAAAATATGACTTTATGAGAACTTTTTCATGGAAGCAACATGAATCAGAGAAGAATACAGTTAATGTAGGGTTGAGGAACTTTAAATATAAGAATTACACTATTATAACAAAATGAAAGCTCGAATTGAATAACAGGTTAAGGTTTGGGAAATTACAGATTCCAACTTACACGATGGAGGAACGGCTGGATTGGCTGGCGCTTTGGAAGGCACTGCTGCACAATGAGACATAACAGCAAGATGAAAGGCAATGAAGGCCAGAAGATACCCTATAAAATATCCTCTAGAAGACAACATTGTTGGTTCAATTAACTTCAACAATATTTCTGAGTTKTTCAGTAAGTTTGAATCCAAAAGTCCTCAGCTTTGGGTTTTTATAGGGTTAATGCCGACGTGAACCCGTGTGAGTAGCACATACGTGGACTGCAGGATTTCCGGTCAGTCTCTGCTCTGAACCAATCTAAAAATTCCAAAACTCGATACATTAACCAATCAAATTACGTGAATGCGAACGCCATTAAAGTAACACAAGATCATCTGCTCACACGACGAGTATTGYTTACGCCGATGTGGTTAAAAAAATGTACTTCCCGTTTGGAAATTATGTTTGTGGGTATTAGGGAGCAGAATGCTGAGAGATATACAAGGCTTTTGGGTGTACYATCCGTCCTGTACCAGCCCACAAAAAACAAATCCAAGTTTTGTAATCGGGGGAGTAAGGAATAACTGCTCAGTCTCCAGAACCAGAAAGCTTTTCGAAAAAAAGCTGATATTTACGGAGGGAGAAAAACCGCTTAAAGTTCAGGAGGAAAACCCTTAATACATAGGAGAGAACCTATACATATCTACAACTCTAGTAGCTGAGTGTTGTGCTTTCAGTCCGTTGATTTAGAATTTTTGAATTRAGGTCGCATATCCATTCCCTTGAAACACTTTAATGCCTTCCACCCCCAGATTCTGCATGAGCTCGAAGTTTTTGCAAAGCATCGACGGAGTCAATTAAGATGATTTCACAAGCGCACATATTAAATTTTTGATAGAATATCAGTATCCGATCCTCAGTGGTTCAACACATTCAGTTATTTATTTAGTTACCTAACTAACGTCCAAATACAGGGCAGTAAAAATACATGTTCTGAGGTAGGGAAATCGCAACAGAAGTCAGTGTTCTGACAATTAATTTAAGAGCAGCAAGTTCAAGGACTGAGGAGGAAATATACAGAATTACATCTTAAACGAGTTGCGTGCATTGAATGTCGGTCACAGAACAGGACAGGAGGTAGTCAAACCTCTGTACCCAGCAAGTATAGTGGTCGAAAATGAAGAAATTGAAGCATAAGTTCCGGATATGATGAAATATTGCCAAGCAGTAAAGTGATTCTAGTTTTGAAAAGCAATAGTGTACATTAAACCATATTTGCCTGGTGTAGGATATCACAACCCACTCACGTACTCAGTGCCGGTCAGATAACCTTTAAAACATGAAAACGCTTCCTTTACCGGGTCCCCTGGAAGCCGATTTCGCAACAGAAAACCAATAGAATATTTTCAAATACATAACAAATAAACATTGATTTATTAAGATAATAAAATATGTGCAGCTTTATATGGGAAATTCCATGAGAGGAACTAAAAATATTGTTATGGAACGAGGATTAAGGAGAGATTCTTAAAAGGGTCTCATGTGTAAGACGGATCTTATGAAAACAGAGGTCGTGACAAGCCTTTCTTATGACGTCATGATTGCAACACAAGAGCAGAACATCTGTAACATGATAAACGGTGGCACAYTGACTCCAACAAATAGCTTCCATGATTCAAACGATATGAACAACACAGGAAGTCGAATACAACAAGTGGATAGAAGTAGACGAGAGAACAGTTTCAAAAACTCAAACCCAAGCATTAAACAATTCAATCTATCTACAACAGGCAAACTTAAAATTTGGCTAAAGGATAAAAGTCTCCGCAGATGGAGCGAACGAAAAAATGACGACAAGATTCTGGATATTGATTTAAAAAAATTTTGGCGCTTAATTTTGTTTTTAAAATTGCAATTGTGTGAAAAAGTGGTGTTTAAGTTTTGCAAATATGTATATAATTCGCGTACAATTACAATATATTTCTTCGTACATTGTGTACAACCATTACATTACGGATGAACTTTGTAAGCTTCAGCAATTTTATCAGGTCAATTTTCCCCGTCTCCATCCAGCTACTGTTGATGCTTTTTAAAAGTTATTAACTTGGAGGAAAAATAGCACAAAATAATAAAAAAATGCACACACAAAGAAACAAACCACAATAACGTACAAAAATTACCTTGAACCAGCCCATCATCCAAAAAACCTAAAACAATCAAAGCAAACACTGAAACAAAAACAAAAACACACACACACACAAAACGCAAACTGAGCAAACATATATATATATAACAACAAAAAAAACCAACAACCACAATAAAACAAACAGATAACAACGAAAAAATGCAAGCAAACTAAAACCGGCATAAAAAGAAAAATAGGAAGAAGAAGAAGAAGAAGAAGAAAAAGAAAAAGAAGAAGAGGAAGAAAAAGAAAGAGAAGAAGATAGAACTTTTTCGCAAAACTTTATTCTCCCTTGCCATATCCCACATTACTTCAGGCACAAACAAAAGTAGGCTTATAAAAAGAATTCTGACATTTATTGTTACCAGGGTTGCTAAAGTTTTCTCTTGGTGAGGCTCGATCAATACTAGTTAGCACACAGGTGACAACTTTTCTTACAGTATACTGACATGTACTTCTYGAAGCGTTGGTCGGTACACAGGGACCCCGAGCTGGCCGAGGATGGGCAGTTGGCGGTTTTGTCCTCACATACTAGTTTTGTAAAGTAAAATATGATAGTCGATTAGTACCCTGTATGTACATCAGAAGTGAAGCAGAGCAGAGCAGAGCAGAGCAGAGCAGAGCAGAGCAGAGCAGAGCAGAGCAGAGCAGAGCAGAGCTTAAATACGTGTAAACATTGGTTTATTAAGATAGTAAAATATGTGCAGCTTTATATGGGAAATTCCACGAAAGAAACTAAAAATATTGTTATGGAACGAGGATTAAGGAGAGACTCTCAAAAGGTTCTCACTGTGTAAGACGGATCTTATGAAAACATAGGTCGTGACAAGCCTTTCTTATGACGTCATGATTGCAACACAAGAGCAGAACATCTGTAACATGATAAACGGTGGCACATTGACTCCAACAAATNTGAAAAAGTGGTGTTTAAGTTTTGCAAATATGTATATAATTCGCGTACAATTACAATATATTTCTTCGTACATTGTGTACAACCATTACATTACGGATGAACTTTGTAAGCTTCAGCAGTTTATTTTTGATCAGGTCAATTTTCCCCGTCTCCATCCAGGAACTATTGATTCTTTTTAAAAGTTATTAACTTGGAGGAAAAATAGCACAAAATAATAAAAAAATGCACACACAAAGAAACAAACCACAATAACGTACAAAAATTACCTTGAACCAGCCCATCATCCAAAAAACCTAAAACAATCAAAGCAAACACTGAAACAAAAACAAAAACACACACACACACAAAACGCAAACTGAGCAAACATATATATATATAACAACAAAAAAAACCAACAACCACAATAAAACAAACAGATAACAACGAAAAAATGCAAGCAAACTAAAACCGGCATAAAAAGAAAAATAGGAAGAAGAAGAAGAAGAAGAAGAAAAAGAAAAAGAAGAAGAGGAAGAAAAAGAAAGAGAAGAAGATAGAACTTTTTCGCAAAACTTTATTCTCCCTTGCCATATCCCACATTACTTCAGGCACAAACAAAAGTAGGCTTATAAAAAGAATTCTGACATTTATTGTTACCAGGGTTGCTAAAGTTTTCTCTTGGTGAGGCTCGATCAATACTAGTTAGCACACAGATTACAACTTCTCTTACAGTATACTGACATGTACTTCTCGAAGCGTTGGTCGGTACACAGGGACCCCGAGCTGGCCGAGGATGGGCAGTTGGCGGTTTTGTCCTCACATACTAGTTTTGTAAAGTAAAATATGATAGTCGATTAGTACCCTGTATGTACATCAGAAGTGAAGCAGAGCAGAGCAGAGCAGAGCAGAGCAGAGCAGAGCAGAGCAGAGCAGAGCAGAGCAGAGCAGAGCTTACAATAGCTTACCATAGCTGCAGTAACACGATCTTTTACAGTTTTTGTTCATGAAGGGGTAGTAGATACTAGACGAGTGACAGTAGCCAGCCTCAGCCCACCATGGACAGTTATTGTTATGATCCTTGTGCTGACAGACTGAGGAATGCATAACAAAAAAGACAGGTATCATAACAGGATGGTCCTTGTGTAACACACTAGAAGAACATCGAGAATGATGTAGTGTTCTTCTTACCACTAGATCCATTGCAATATAGCAACCTGGCCTGTTCAACGTCTTTGTCACTCAGACCATTCCGCTGACCAAARGTAGTGCTGCCGTYYAARCTCTCGATGGTGTTAAGTGAWGGGGATTTAGAAAACGCTTTTGGACCATAATGCATCAGACTGGCTAGATCATATTCCACTCCAAGGTCGTTAGTGTCGGAGTTGTCGATCATTTTGAAGTTATCAAGGTTGTCTTTTGACAAAAGCATAAAAGCAAAGGAAAAACGCTTTATTGAAATTGTAATAACGTTTTATGAATGTGACATTGTATATGATGACGTAATGCATGACGTCATAAACAATMWTGCATATTTACCTGACCGAATATTGTTCCATAATATTTTGACGTATCTATCTCGGTCTGGTCGGGACTGTTCATGCCAGAARCCAAGGGCGTGTCCTATTCCAATTGAAAGACAGCTGTCAGTCWTTGATTGATYATGTGATATGCTATYTATAGCARCACCCGAGTGAATCATTGAGATACTMACCTATTTCATGTGCAATAACTCCCATTACTGCACATCCTGGACCAATAGAAATTCTTTGTTTGCCTCCTTTGCGACCRACCCATGAAAAACACCTGGGAAGGAAATAAAGCAAAGTCTTGAATGATTGAGATGAATAAATAAAAAATAAATGGGAAATAAACGGATATATGTCCGGTGGGACTTTTTAATAAGATTTTTCAAAATAACAGATAAGCAAAAAAATATTGAATGTCAAGTGAAAGCATTTCTTCACTCTTCGGACCTCCGCGTTCAGATGAATCGCTGACATTCTCATAGCTGGGTTTTTTTTCTGATGTGAAAACAAAATGACTCGTTGCACAACGAATTATGATCACTGAAAGGCATACACCTCAGAACTATGCCAATAAATTATGTCGTCTCATCGAAAATGCATTGAAAGCTTCGAGTCCATACTTGCGTTTATAATCGAAATAATCCGCGCATGCGCATGCGAAAAACAGGCGTGCCTGTGTCAATGACGTGCACACTAATACGATAAGCCTACATTTTCAAATGTCTCCACTCTGTAGAACGTTTTCAAATTTTCAAGCTTTCGAAAGTTTTAGCGTGGGCGAAAAACCAAAACGCATCGAAAAGTTTGCGTTTTCAAACGAAATAGCATCGATGCGGACKGGGCCTAAGTTAAGTAAAAAGAAAAACCTGATCCAACTCACCCTTGGCCTGAGAAGAAGCTCAGGTAGTGTACTTGAGCAGTCCTGGGTACGAATGCAATACATGGAACCTTTTCTGCCCAGTGRCTCAAGGCTTGCTGGATAACTGATYGGTCTGCAACTGAAAGATGAGGATAACCTTGTTTAGCCAGTAAAGAGGGGTGGGAGGGATAATGGATTCACAGAATCGCAGTACTAAGGATAGGTTCAGGAAATGCAAGATACTTGTCGTCCTTAGAGCTGAACCTCACATTCCTTGTGATAACCGCCTAAGGAAAACGAAAAGCCGGTACTGGTATCTGATTGGCTAATACAACAATGAAAGGACACCAAAATGTCTAAACGATGGAAAGGAACAGCGAATGGAGATGATGAACCTGAAGATCTCGTACTTGTGTAAAGACATACGTGTTGAGGTGGGCACCGAGGAACAGAATGATCAGAATGAGAATGTGGAATACTCTTGCTCTGAAAAACTATCGCTAAATCTGGGTCAATTCAACAGCCGAAATTATCAAGTAAATAAGAAAACGAAATTCAAAAACAAATATGCTATTTCCGGTTCACCAAGAGTATTTTAAAGAATAGAAACGAAAACAAACAAACGAAATAGAACAAAAGAAAAGCACATGTTTATGGGATGAGAATGCTAGTGGTTATTAATAGAAAAAAAATGGGTGCTTCTTACTTACCGCATGACTGTTCAATGACATACGGGACTYGTACCAGACCATTACCGATAGGAGGCCATCTGTTCTGATCATGACCATTTACCGCCCTGCCTGCTGTGACTCTCAGGGGWAGGGAAAGGGTGTCTGTACCACTTGTGTTCAAAGCTAGACGCAGTTCTTCGGTCATTAGGATATCCCCTTGAAAAAGAGCTTCAGCATTTACTACGAGACAAAGTAATAGACATTGATTGACATGTACTTAGGGTGAGGTCGAGTAGGTTAAACACAYACTTCAAAACCCAGGAATCCCATCACCCAACCGGAACCCGGACATATGCCAAAGACTGCTTTTAGCCCCTAAAATTGCTTTCTATTTTTTGACATTTTGCACAGAATCTGCTTTTCGTACTTGTTGCTTTTGCTATTTATTTGCTTTAACATTGTTTTTAAGGGCGTACGCAGGGGGGGAGGGGACAATGCACCCCCCCTCCCTCCGTGGCAAAAAAATGGCGGCCTTATTTGGAATTTATACGGTAATTTTCATTTGCTTTGCTATGTTTTGCAAAATTAAAACGCAATACCGGTCCTCTTTTTTGGTTCGGCGTCTCGGGGGCCAAAACGGATCTTTTGAGTCGCCCCCTCCCCCCCCCACCCTCTCGGAAAATCATGCCTACGTCTCTGGTTTTTATAATGTTTGTTTGACTACGTGCTTTCCAAACCAGAAGTAAATGCCATAATTCTGATTGCACTAGTTTTGTTCATTAGACGTTTGATTTAGGCTGCTCCACCAGGGAATGTGTACTAGAAAAGATCCACAATACATGTATACTTTCTCCAGCCAACACTGCAATAAACGTTGTTATTCGTATCTCTATAAACAGAGACATTTGCTGTGTAACCACAGCTGAGTACATTAAAATTGTCAGCGTTAATTATAATGAATGAAAACGAAGACGGATCAACATGAAATATGACAAAAAACGTTACTTACTGACCTTGACCATGTGCACTATGAGAGTTTTTCGCGTTCGCCTTCAAAWTGGTAGCAAATATATCTGTCTGGTRAAGCTGTACTGCTGTGGAAAWAAGGAAATCRTGAAATACATGACGAGATTCCCCCTCACACCATCATATATATATACCCTTGATTGCAAAAAGGTTGTAGTATACATTTCTACATATATCTAATGAGATGCAATATATCAAATGAGATGCAAAACTTAAAAGTAACTTATTTGGTCTTATTTATCTTCTCATTATATATAAGGACATAAGTATTGCACAAAGTCAAGTTAAGAGTATTTTCCACAAAATGTAGTGGCTAAGCAGTGGTATTTAAGCATGTTTTACATTCTGCATCTCATTTGATATCTTGTATCTTATTAGGTATCTGTATAAATGTGTACTACAACCTTATATATATAGTAGGTTTTTGAAAATAACGAATTACACTGGATCCCTTTTTAGCTTACCATCACTTCGATCGGCGTCGTTAGCTCTGAATGGCGCAATACGTGTAGCTACTGTACCAAGCACAGCCTTTGAGAACGCACCATGAACAAGAACAAATACCAAAACAGCACAAAAACAAAGCTGCTTGACATTCAATCTTTCCATACTTAACATCTCAGGTTTGGTTTGATTTCTCTGTGGAAGGAACTTGCAGCCTCCCTTAATATACGATTCGGTTTTTGTTTTTTTTACAAAAAAGGCTTGACCAACCAAAAACAAAAAGACGGCTGACCTAGTTTTGAGGTAAGTGTATGTGGACCGCATGGACGAAATGGTCTTTCCTGGCCGTCGATAGCGGATGAGGTTRTGAACGTAAGAAAAGGCGGGCTAAGCTGGAGTCATGTGGTCTTTTCTTTCTTTAGGTTCTATGATTACATTTCCGTAGGACTTTTTTTGTTTCCCATTTCTTGTTTAAACAAACATTGTGTGCTGGAGTACACAGTGTGTGCTGGAGTACACAGTCATTGGACTTCCTTACGTTTAGCGCGCGAAACTAGAAACAACTTGAATGACATGTGGTAAAAACAGTTATTCGCCTTGATGTTATGATCAGTAAAATGAATGAAAGAAAATAATTCATGCATGAAATTCGTGGTTGCAAATGTTAATTTATTTTCATTGATTCTTCAAAGCAAATTTTAGTTTCAGGCGACTAGGATTCAGTCCGGCAAATGGAAAGCAGTTTTTCTTCGAGACAATTTTCCTCTCATAAACTAAAACAGATGAGACTATTAAAACAGATCAGAGGTTATCGTAATAGTCTTTGTCGCTAGCACACTCCCTAATGACGAAATCTATGGTGTTTATCCTGACCTCAAATGGATTGTTCTATATATAGCAGCTAGTGTTGTTAAATCAGTTGGTCAAGCGCAAGGTTCCATCTTGAGCTGTTTTGACGTCATTGTATATCGTGAACAGGACCTACCATTAATTCGTACTATATTAAGGATTGCATCCTYAATCGTCAATGAGGATGTTATCCGTAAGCCACGAATGCCAAGGTTGGCCGATAGAATGACGCAGTGACTGTAAAACGTTTTCTTGGGCATGCATTTACCCGCGCATCTCAAGGCCTTTACGTATTAAATTTGATTGSCTCCCAACCTTGTGGGAATCATTTTTATCTTAATTATAACTTGAAATAACTAAGGCGCGCTCTGATTGGTTGAAAAGCCCCGTCGTGGCTTCTCTTCATCACGCGTGTTGGACCAGGCTATATATAACATCGAAGCATGTTTTTTATGTAATTTTTGGACTTCAAAATATGCTGTAGATTTTTTTGATTTTTGAATCAAACCAAATATACCTTTTTCTTGAATATTGGTAGCTATCGAAAGTCATTTCCAAGAGAATAAAATAAAAAAGACATAGCTATGTATTACCATGCTGGTCGATAGAGAACCAAAGTAACGATAAGGAGTCTAAAACTGAGAATTCCTTTTTTTTAAATTTGAACGGCCAACTTTAAAGCCAGAAATAATATAATTCTCACTATAAACAATCAAACAAACAAAGTAAATCCTTACTCTAAAAGCAAGAAACTCGTAGGCTATTAATCAGAGCAGGCTACACAAGACTGATAATAATAATAATAAAAGAATATTTATATATCGCATCCTGAGAGCCTCGATGCGCTTTATAGTAAGATAATTAAAAATAAGAAATAATATCTATAAATATGTACTAATACTGAGAAGACACACATAAAATGATCAAAGTTAGAATATCCAAAACGAAAATATACAGGAAAACAACGTGCCTTTCGACAAAGACCAACTTCCTCTGCCTAAAAGACAAAAAGCAAAAGAGAAATAATGAATGGATTGAAAAGAAAAAAGAAACCGCGACAGGAAAGAAAGAGTTGAGAGAAAGCGAAACCAGAGCAACAGTTGTGAATGCTTTGAGAAAATGAAAACACCAAGCATTTTTCGCAATTGCGGCAATTTCGGCAATTTCCTTGAGTTAAGGTAACCCTTGCAATCAATTATTCTAAAGCTAATAAATAAATGTAGAAAAGCTTAAGGATAGGCGGGTTTTTTTGCTCTGAATAATTATCTAGCATTGCATGGAAAATAATGAGTTTCTGATACATTCTTTTGTTTTCGACTGCATGCTGTTGGAACAGGCTAACTTTAGCAGTATCAAAACAACTCGGAAATAAGTTGAAGCTTCTTTCTTCTGTCAGTCTCAGCACAACCCGCGGTACTGAAACTCTTTACGATCGAAGACCCTTTGTTTTGTTACAAATATTAATTTATACGTTAAGGCCTTTCAATCTAGTCCGCCCCTTGATCTTCAAAACAACAGCAACCAAAGCAAGCTGCAACTAGGTCAGGCTGCCACTCGATCAAGTCAGTGAAACTGGCGTAACCTCGTACTTCGCAGTTGAACGACACGAATGTGTATATTAGAATGAATATTGATAGGCAAGAATGATTTTCACTTCTGAAAATAGCCTGCTGTTTTTTTTCCTTTCTTCGTGGTAGTTGTTGACGACTTTCCGCTGTTATTGATGTTTTTTGTTTTGTTTTGTCTGTTTGTTTCGGCTGCGTGCGTTTTTTGTGTTATCAAAATATCTCGGGGCTGCACGAAATTGGTTTCTTAGATGAGTCAAATCAGATAAAAACCCGCACCGTTTGTATAGAATGACGATTATTTGGTTTAGAAATAAGAGACGTGAAAAAGACGCGAGCCACTCAAACGTCTAAATAAATAATCATGATTTACTCAAGTGCTATTTAATTGTTTTTAATCGATTATTTAAGTAGGACCAAAAGTAGATCTCATGTTTGGATCAGTTTCCATTGTTCTATATTTTATCATTTTGAAAAAGTACTTAGTGTCTATGATCAGCCGATARTTTGAGGACTGCGATATACAAATATTCAGTGTAAATATATTAAGTCAACGACTCTTYTCACTTATCTACATCTCAGCTGGCTCTGATGCATGGATTTCGTTTTTTCAGTCTACAGCGTCAAGTTCCTTTGTGAATTTAGAGAGCACAGTGTTGAACTGAAGAGAAATCAATTCAACTCAGTTGAAAGACTTGAATGATTGTTTGTGGTTGTATATATTTGCTATAAATTTGTATYGGTTTGAGAAGACACATRRGTTATAYATGTCCCATGAGATGAGAAACTCAYCAAGGAAGAAGAAAAGCTGCAAAACTGAATACGAGAATCGCGCACGACAGGAACAAAATATCTGCGGAAGCTCAACCAATGTCGTGTTAATTCCGTCCCAAATTGGACAGGAAGGCAGTTTAATGGTTGATAGTGAACACAGTACGTCATTAAAACACACCCAGCTTTTTAACTGTTGCTGTTGCATAAATAGACGAGAGAGAATGCTATATAAAGCAAGTTGCCAAGCAAACAAATGCAATTTATTTAGCTCATTAACACAACAGGCTGACACACAGATAGAAATATTTTATAGATCTGTCTAAATATCATCACCTATGGAAACAAGAGTTTTTTGGAAGCAGATTTTCGTGACTCTTTTACTTAATTTTATTCTAAAAACAAGCGAATCTTTACCTCTACATGAGTCAAGGCAAGCTAAAGAAACAGAATATCTTTCTCTCGTMTCAAAMGAAGGTAAGCTATGATCTCAAACAMGAGCTGACATTTYTTGRGATACATGTAGCATGTACATTACAAACTAATTCAGAAGTGATTGGGAATTTAAAGCAGCCGATAGGTAGAGGGAGTAAATCTTTTGTAGTTTTGACAAATACGAATGTGATTAAGTGATTGGACGATCAGCCACAGAAGACATCCCAGACGCACTGTGCATGGTGAAGTCTGGTCGACGTCTTGAAATACGGATCCAATGCGTATTTTTCCATCTCGAACTGCGTGATGGACTATGTATACTTTTCTCAACCCCTTAATCTTATAATCMAACGATTTACAGATCTTTAATTAATCGTTATCTAACAAATGCGTGGAGACGAGTGTGCAGCGCYGGTGCTCTGACAGCTTGTGACTRGCTAACGCTACATCATGTCGAGCKGTGTTACCAAAGTATTGTTAGAAGAAGTAAGAAGCCAATTTTCTTGATCGCTCGACTGCAGGGGTGCCCTTTCTGTAAATGTTTGGTTTTTATTGGCAATATATGTATTGAAGCACGCGTCAGTTTAAACCGATCAAAAAGCTAACTTGCTCGGCATGATTTCCTTTATTTTAGAACATAAAAACAAGGCTGGAGTGGATATTTTTGACTTCATCTTGAGGCTTAATTCAGAGAGAAAGAAATTTTCATCTGGTTTAGGAAGGATGAAGAACAGAGCACCTGACGGTAGGTAGACCACATGTACGAGTGTAATTTTGGATAACGTACATTAAATAACCTTAGATAGGACTCCAAAGACTGCGCACGCTACACACTATATATTATTCTCTAATATACTTCTCTCAATACTATAACGTCATCGGTTTTTATCTGTGATTATTGAAAATCTCGCGCGCTGATTGGTCAAGAAACTCAGATTATCACACGATAATCACCTCCAGCGATCCAAAATGGCGTCCAGCCGCTTTGTTGCTGTTACCGGGGAAAAATGTGTCTTTTATCTCCTTTTTCTTCTTTTTTTTGAAAGAATCAACTGTGTATTTATACTAAGACAATCATATTCACCTAGCTCAAGCTCAGTGAATATCGGGAATAATAACTTATTATTCCCCGATGATCACTTAGCCTTCAGCGAATGATTGTTAACTATAGGCCAGCAATATAGTAACTTCCCAAAACCATACTTGATATTTTAGAAGGCGAAGAACTTTTTCAAGGAGACATTGTTATGACGGATGACATTCGAACCGCCTTGAAAAACAGCCATACAGATATCATGACCCTTCCCATCAGGAAAGAAAATGATCAGCGGCGGAAGAAAAGAGCTGTAACTTCGCATGGCCAAAAGAAATGGCCAATTGCCAATGGTCAAGTTGAAGTYCCGTATGTTATCGAGACTTCAAGTGGTAAGCCGGTACTTCTTTCTATCATTTACTATTTGATAGTTCTGCTCCTAGCGACACATTCAAGGGTTTTAATTTAGAGAGGTTTTCATTTTAAATATTTTAAACATATATATCATATTTTTAACAGAAAATGTCGAAATGTTAGATATATTGAGTTCCATTTTAGAATGATAGAAAAGTCCCTAGCTACTAGATAGTTGTTTCCATAGATTAATATGAATTTCGTGAATGCCTTTAGCACAGAATGCGGCATTCATCCACACTTGCATTTCATTTTCTCTTGCTTCATGTCAGTTGTGACAGAATTCTAATTTCTTGTGGTTGGTTTGATTTCAGTTCCCGATAAGACAATTATCACCCAAGCTATGGATCACTGGCACACTAACGTGCCTTGCATCTCGTTTGTACCCAGAACTAATCAGCCAGACTATCTGAGCTTTTTCTCTGGTCAGGGGTGAGTCCGAGTTATTTGTCTGTCTGTCTGTCTGTCTGTCTGTCTGTCTGTCTGTGGTTTGCTTGTCTGTCTGTCTGTCTTTCTGTCTGTCTATCTGTCTGTCTGTCTGTCTGTCTGTTTGTCTGTCTGTCTGTGGTTTGCTTGTCTGTCTGTCTGTCTTTCTGTCTGTCTATCTGTCTGTCTGTCTGTCTGTCTGTCTGTGGTTTGCTTTTTGTTCACCACTTATCATAAATAACAATCAATGTAACGCACATGGGAGAATGCGCCTTACTCATGCGGCAGCCATATCGACTGGAACAATAGATTCCCCCCGCGTGGCCTCGCATTCAAGGATTCAGGATGAGGTTTTGTGGGTTAAACATAGGCTGTTATTCTTATGAGAATACATACTCTAAAAAAACGTATCTGCCATCAAGAAGATTTCTCCTTCCCTTCARTCCCCACACTCTAATTTACGTCATACTTGTCGTTGTAAATATGTGTATATTACTATCAGRTGTTTTTCATGGGTTGGTCGCAAAGGAGGCAAACAAAGAATTTCTATTGGTCCAGGATGTGCAGTAATGGGAGTTATTGCACATGAAATAGGTTAGTATCTCAATGATTYACTCGTGTGCTGCTATAAATAGCATATCACATAATCAATCAATGACTGACAGCTGTCTTTCAACTGGAATAGGACACGCCCTTGGCTTCTGGCATGAACAGKCCCGACCAGACCGAGATARATACGTCAAAATATTATGGAACAATATTCGGTCAGGTAAATATGCATGATTGATTATGACGTCATTATATGAGACTACATGTGACGTCATTGGATCTGACGTCTGACGCTAGTACACGAGACCAGACAAGACGTCATTACAATATCAATAAATCGTTTTTCCTTTTGCTTTTTTGATCAAAAGACGACCTTGATGAATTCAAAATGATCGACAACTCCGACACTAACGACCTTGGAGTGGAATATGATCTAGCCAGTCTGATGCATTATGGTCCAAAAGCGTTTTCTAAATCCCCTTCACTTAACACCATCGAGAGYTTGAACGGCAGCACTACCTTTGGTCAGCGGAATGGTCTGAGTGACAAAGACGTTGAACAGGCCAGGYTGCTATATTGCCCAAGGACAAATGGTAAGCCGTCAAATACAAGTTCTCATATGGATCTGGCAGTAACATTAACAGTTCATATATATGTATATTTATATACTATAACATCAATTGTYTTTAATGTTTTCTTGCAGCTTGTCAGATTTTGTATAGTGATCTCGATGCTAACTGTCCAAGTTGGGGAATTATTGGTTACTGTGATAACAAAGTCTACAAGACCTTCATGTATAATAGCTGTAAAAAGACTTGCATATGTAAAGGTAAGCTGTTATGTTGCTTTAACTTCCGTCAGAAGGGATTTTTTAGACTCATTGATTTCGTAGCAGCCAATAAAATTAAAGATGTTGTTAACTAATGAAAAACACCTGAGTATTGACACTTCGATAACRAAGCAAAACGTCCGCCATTTTTGGCGAATGAACGAGACCAAACAAACACATACTGAGAAAAAAATAGCAAATGATAGCACGAACTGAACAAATTAGAAGTTCAATAAATGAGCTCAAAATTAGTTGAAAAGTCGTAAAACTGAAATGAAATAAGTTTACTAATAGTCTCAATTCAACATTTGAAAGAACTAAATAACCATCGTTTATTGACAAAGCTACACACTTAAGACAAACCCGTGTAAACTTGTGGACTTCAAAACATTGCAAAAGAAAAAACGTCTTATTATTTTAACCTTTATTTTTATTGTATTTTTATTTCGACAAACTCGAGTTAATTTGTCTTTTCGTGCTTGACATGAGACTCTTGATTATAATTTTAGAGATTGTACGAAGACTAAATATTAAAAGATCATTTATTTTGCATTTCAGTTTGCGAAGACACGAATTCGGGATGTCTGGGATACGTTAATGCAGGGTATTGTACCAACGATGCTCACAAGGACTGGATGAACTTAAACTGTAGAAAAAGCTGTGGATTTTGCCATTAACCATTATTAATACTAAATAGTTATTTATTATGAACGAAATACTTTATTYATTAATTATCAAGATGTATAGGCATTGGTTGAATGGTTTATAAGCGTTGTCTTCATGATGCAATGTGCTAATCATTTTGAAAATAGGTTTGATCACGTGGCTTTATTGGATTGTATGGTTGGCAATTTGTGTGACTGATTTTTGATAATTTGAGGTGACTTGAAATTTTCAATATTCCACTAACTTTAAAATTAAATAACATATTAAAGAAGCAAAAAATTAAAAATCGCTAACACTTTTAGAAGTTTATCTTTTTCRAAGCCGTAACGCCATGCCACTAGTTCACCTCTACCGAGCGTGCCCAATTTGTGTTTAAGCCTCTTATTATAAAAATCTTTATCATCTGACCTTTAAAACGTTATATACCGCCACCCGGTCAGCTCAGTTGGTAAGAGCGTCGGTCTGTTGTGCGGAAGGTCGTGGTTCAAGCCTCAGCCGGACCAACACTCAGGGTCTTAAAATAACTGAGGAGAAGGTGTTGCCTTTGTAATTATATCTGCAAATGGTTAGACCTTCAAGTCTTCTCGGACAAAGTCTTAAAACCGTAGGTCCCRTCTGTCTTCACTATATAACCCTGTAAAAGGCGGACGTAAAAGAACCACTCGAGGGCCACAAGTTGATCAGTTAGCAAAATTACTATCACGTGTCACCCTCATTAAATAAAGTCTTCAATCAAAATAAGGTCTTCAATCAACCAATCAACCAATCAATCAATCAATCAATCAATCAATCAATCAATCACTATGTTTTATATGGTTTCGTTGAAAGCGTTGCGCAGAGAGAGTCCTACACGAAACATATCTCCAGTAACCTTCTAGTAAAATCACTCTAGCATGGCTTAACTAGTAAACTTCGAAATATATGTACGTTTTGTTGCAAAGAAGTACTTTTAACGGAGAATGAAGGTTTTGATTCGACATTCCGGAAGCTCTCTCGCTCCAGTCAGTTCGTGGTTGTAGGTTTCGGAGCTGGAGCGAGAGAGCCTCTGAACCCAGAGCCAACTTGGCCGGGGTTTAATCCGTTTAGCGGCCCAAAAGGGATGGGAAATAGGGGTSAGATGGCTGTGGGAAAGCTAAGGCAACAACACTGGGCGCTACGTAGGCTATCGGGTTCTATATGATTCCTTTGAGAACGGAAATATTTAAAGGTTTTCGAAATAAGTATGTTTTTTTAAAGAGGATAATATYTTCGGTTGATGACAGGTATATGTCGTCAGCGGTGACGTCATACTGTTCCTCAGTTGTTCTAGAATATTCGCTAAAACTGAGCTTTGTCAAAGAAATAAAAACAGAGAAAAGATATCCTCAGGAAATCCGCAGAGGTTAACTGATTATTCGCATTGATTTCAGACGATTTTTCTTTGTTATTCTAAAATTTTCTTTGAAAAAGGAATCTGTAGATGTCAAGCCTAGCTTTCAGTCAGTTATAAGCCCGGCCGGACTAGGGCGTTTAACTGAAGAGCCAGGAGTTTMATTTATCAGCTAATAAATCAATTTGTAATGCTATGATAAAGTAGTTTATAAGTTAATTATTTAATCTTAACATTTAACCCTATAGGAAAAGAACTTGCAGCATTATGATTGCACTTTCTTATCGTTAAGAAGTTTTAATCTCTTCTAAGGATTGGTAATGATGTATAGTAATTTAATAAAAATTTAACATAAACTATGTTAACTGTGGCGGATTTAGGGGGGGGGGGKKTTCTTKGGGKRAARRGSCCCCCCCCCCCCCCACTGGCGGGTACCTTGGATTTTTTTAAATAAATAAAGATGGTACTAACTCATGAGATTTAATATGAAATGGGATTGGTGGATAGGTTATCCATATCAGGAGCGCCCCTAGGCCAGTGATGTGCCTCATGGGAAAAATGATGATGCAAGAGAACGTTATTGTTGTGCCKAGATTTGCAAAAATGAACCCTTCCCCTCTTAAAGTCCTGGATCCGCCACTGGTTAATAGTATAGTGGAAAATGTAATTTGTGACGCTCAAGACAAGAGATTGAAATAAATGAATGTTTTTTTTTCGCCACGTGAGTGTATGTTGTGGCACGTGTTGTTGTCTGGTTAGTGATAATGGAGTAGTATACAATAACCTGACGTCGTTAGTAAGTCATCAACGGTTAGCTTCATTGTGGACATGGGGTTCATATCTTGGCCGAAAAATTGCTTTGTAACGCTAAAACCCTTAAGGGCGCATCTTTGYATGGATGGTTCACACGTTCTTATTTTTTCCACGTGTGTGGTTTCAGTTTGGGTCCTGTTCGGCCTTGCTGTAGTATAACTTTCCGTTGTATATGAGTATATTCAAGTGAAGTAAAGATTATTGTGGGCGTAAGCCGAAGTTAGGTCAAAATGTAATGAAAGTAGTTTGAACTTTCGAATCGGCCAACATTCGTTTTTTTTTTTTTTTTTGCTAACTAGTGCTTTACTACAGAACACCACGTCGAACATCACGTCTAGATTATTGGCCGTATACGCTTGCAAAAAAGGAATCGGACATAGCTGAGTATAAAGCACTGAAAATAACACCATTAAGTAACATTCCACAGAGCCAGACAGCGAGGAATKTGCTCACTAGTGCTCTGCTACAGAACACCTCAAACATCAGGTCTACGATTGTCAATCYCGAGGGTCCTCATATTCAATCAATTAATGGATCCCCTACACRCATTTCTAGTCTTTGGGGGTAAAAATTCCTCTTTTTTTAAGGATTGAAGTTTGATTTTTCGATGTTTCGATGGCAGCTMGTACGTGATTCAGTAGAAATGTTTGTTGGTTATTTTCTGTGCTTCTAGAATATAGAATCAGGTTCTTTCGCAGTCCAAGATCGCAATCCAAATTCCGTTGTGGTCAAAATCTGGTCAAACTCGTAATCTGTCGCACGCTCTTCAGCTTTTGTCTTATCGATGGCTGTCAAGTCGTGTTAAGTCAGTTCAGTACTATCGTATGATCCTATGGCTTGATTGTTCTTTTTTTCTACAGGTAACTTGATAATGGAAGATTCTAGATATTGTATACATGAGRAAAAAACTCGATCGAGACTAATATAAATATAAAGCATACGTCAGAACAGTTGTTATTTGGTTCTCTGCTGTGATTCTAGAAGTTTTGATCCCACGAATTTCTTGGACCCCACCTCCCGTTCCTCTCTCCCTCAACACTACTATATTCTAGTTGACATGCGTTTTGAAACACTAGCATATCTTTCACTCATRGTTACACTTCATCTTAAATTCATCTTATATACTTCTGTAGTTCAACTATCAGCTATCTCAACAATCTCAATACTGCAAAGCAGTGCCGCCTGTCTCTCTGCAGGACTGCCCGCTACGCGTCGTTTTCTCTCGGCCGCTTAATTTTTCGACGTAGTATTTCAAGTTTCACTTGAACTTTCAGTCAACGGTTAAATATCTATCCAAGGTTAATCCATAAAATCAATTGCGCACTGGGTTCGAGTTCCCCTTTTGTGCACTATAAAAACCAACGCAYCAGGATAGTTTGCATCAACTCTGCACAACAACGTTTAGTCACAAGACCAAAGAAATAACAATGAAGTCTCGTCCAGTAATGTTGCACTTATTTGTTTTATGCTCTGTTGTACTTGATCTTAGTACTTTTGCACAAGGGCTCCACAAAGRTAAAAAGTCAAGTGTTGTTTACTATGAATGACTGACTCACTAAGAGTATTATTTCTAGCTTATTTGATTCTTGATTCATCATCGTTGGCTAGTTGCCTGCCTGAATATAATGGYCTACATATCTAGCAATACCTTTCACTTCATTTTCTAGATGTGGATAATACAGAACCTTCATTTGGCCTTATCAAGAAAGCCAAGGAAAACAATAAATTTCGTAGAGGTAAGACGTTTTTTTATTGTACTATACGCTCATAATGTCATGATCAAATATATTCATATTCCAAGTTAGAGCGGTTTACACCTCACGATTTTTGGAAGACGAACGTCATCCAACAGTACTCGTGTGACGTCACGAAAAAGTATATTTTGGCTTCAACAATTCTCGATCTTTAATTTTCGATATACAATCTCAGCTGATATTTGTCCGATTCTCGTCAAATTTTGGTGTGTAAAAGTCTTTTTCGATTGTCTATAGAAATTGGGAAACAAAAATWTGATAACGCGAAATTTAGACTTTATGACGTCATCACTTGAGTGGCCACGATAGAGATGATTCTAGCACAATAACGAGGCTCTCCGGATAATAAATGTTCTAAATTGTATTGAACCCTGAAAAGTAACCTGCGTAGATATAGCGCTTTAGATTCGAATAGTTTTCTGTCTAACTTTCGACATTTAGCAAGGCGTCATAAAGAAGCTGTTGCTRGAAGARMCGCCATATTGTATTTCATTGATGCTGAGTGTWTCTCCGTGTTTGCGGACGTTTTTCGGGGCTTGATCCCTAGCGGCTAGCGCAGTAGCTGCAAACAYGATGCTAAAGGTCTCTAATGTTATCTAATCTACTCTCCTGTGGAAGAGCCATATCCAGGAATACTGGGATAAAACTGGATGACCTTACTGTCGCCATGGGRGATCCAAAGTGGCTCTGCATTGTGCGAGACATCTCGGTCAAGGCCGCAAGATGATGATGATAATGATGCTAAAGATAATGAGTGTTTTTCGTATATACAAAGTGTCATATTAATACAGGCAATATTTTAATTTTTTGATTTTAAAAATTAAGAAAAACTTCTATTTCCCGAGACTGATCACTTCCAGTTTGGTTATTCGCCGGGGAATATAAATGTGTTGTGGCCCTCTCAAAAAGGTTATCGAGAAATAGTGAAATTGTATTACCATTACGTGACACTCTCTTTGTCAATGAGAAGAAAAAGAAAAAAAATGGACAGGCACTTGGTATATAACAAATGCATTTGATGGTGTCTGACCTTGCTCACGGTCCGCCAGTGTCTGTTTGTGTGTGCGTTTTTTCTAATAGTTTAATTAATTAGAGCATTTTAATTAATTGAATCGTTTTCGTTGCATGACCTTGCATGAACATTTTCTTTAGCTCACAGCCGCAAAAGTGTWAAGCATTCAGAAAGCGCGAAAGCTCTCCTATGTTCCAGTCCACACGATTCGGATATTTTTGAATTCGCAACTTCGGGTTCGTGACCGTTAACATGAGGCCATATT